GGCCCCTTAGTACCGGGTCGCCTCGCTTTCGCTCGGTGAATTCATTCGTACTGATGGTTCTCAGAAGCACTCATCATCCAGGTCGTCCTGCGGTGGTAGATCTACGGGTGCGCTAGACAAGCAGTCGGCGTTGGAGTGTTTTCTTCTGAAATGCGCACGACGATAATGTCGAATTCTCGAAGCATTAGACTCCACCGTGCGAGGTGACCTGAATGACCCTTCAAGTAGGCTAGCCAACACAAGGCGAGGTGGCCACTGACAACTTTAAAAAGTAAATGTAAAGGCGAAACTTTGACGCTGCTTAGATGATGGCATGGCACTCCTTTGCTGTTCTGGAATAGTTGGCATCGGCTTTGAATAGCGACCGGCTAGCATAACTGATAACCTTTTTGCAGGCTAGTACTTTGCACACGGACAACACCAAGTCCTACGCTGCTTGCGTCGGTGTGTACTTCTGTTTCAGCGTACTCGTCGAATTGTTCAAGTGTCGGCAGTGTCTGCAGGCGTCGTTTAAGTTCCTAAAATGCTTCATCCTGTGCTGATTCACACCTGAATTCGACGTTGCTTGTTGCGATGTGAGTTAGCGGTTCGGCGATTTGTGGAAATCTTTTCACGAAACGCCCGGTATATAGGCGCGCAATCCGAGGAATCGGCCTACGGCCTTATTGTCGGTGGGTGGGGGAAACCGGCAACGACAACTGTTTTCTGCGGATCTGGATGAACTCCAGGCTTGCTAATCACATGGGAACAAGAACTTCTTGTACACGAAAGGGCACTTTTCTGGCTTCAGGGTGAGTCCAGAAGTCTTGATAGCTTGAAGTACTGCTTAAAGGCACCGGAGATGCTCGTCAAAGCTCGAGGAAAACACGATGACGTCGACCAAGTACTCGAGGCAAGTCTGCCATTTCAATTCAGCCAGAACGGTGTCCATAACACGCTGGAACGTCGCAGGTGCCGGGCAAAGATAAAATATCATGACCTTGAACACGAAGAAGCTGTCTAGTGTGATAAAGGCACTCTTCTCTCGATCTATCTCGTTGACCTCGACTTGCCAATAGCCAGTCTTGAGGTCCATTGACGAAATTTACTTAGCGTTGTGGAGTCCAGCTAGGGTGTCCTGTATACGTCGGAGACGGTACACATCCTTTTTCGTGATTTTGTTCCGGTGGTGGTAATTGACACAATAACGTATGTCCTGTGTAACGTTGTCAATAGCCAGTCTTGAGGTCCATTGACGAAATGTACTTAGCGCTGTAGAGTCCATCTAGGGTGTCGTCTATACGTCAGAGACGGTACACATCCCTTTTCGTGATTTTGTTCCGGCCGGGGTAATTGACACAATAACGTATGTCCTGTGTTACGTAAGGCTCATGTTGACGTCCAAATCTAGTTGAGGACCTCGATTCGTCGAAGCAGCTTCGGCAACATCGAAGAAGGCGAAATACTTGTTGGCGTTCATGAATTCGTCGATGTGAACGACTGTCATACGAACGTTCAAGTAGCTGCCTATATTCGTGACTAAAGTTTGTTAGCTCCACCTTTGCGTTGCCGTCACAGAGCAAGCTATCTTCTTGCGACGCAAATTTGATAGTTCAGAACCAGGTGCTTATTGCCTTCGATGACGTCTTCAATGTTTTCGGCTTTTGTAGTGGTCGGGAGAGAGTGAACGAAAATCCCCTCGGAGGTATTTTCATTCTCGGCGCTCCCACGAGATAGTCGGCGATGTAACGTGGTCTTTGACCCCGCTGCGGACACGGCCCGTCGAAACAAGCGCAAGACGGGATCGAGAGGCACGGCCTGGCAGCCTACTTGGCTTAGCTCCCTCATCCCTCACCCTTTCGATGAATAAAAGTTGTCACTCACTCATTGTCGAAACCACAGTAGTCCCATCTGGTGCTACTGGTAGCGCCGGTACGTGTGCCCGGCTTCACCGTGGCGATGACTTAAGGGGCGGTGGTCAGGGCGCGGCAGACGTCAGTTTTCCAAGGAGCGTAGGGCTGGCCGGCAGGTGGGTGGTTTGGCGTCAGTGGGGGTGGCGGTGGAGTCTGGCGGCGGAACTGCGGTAGGGCAGCGTCTTCACGGGACCTTGGAGGAGTGTCGTGATGGACTGCGGTAGCGTAGCTCATAACTTCCAATTCAGGTTGTGGTGTGTCGAGAGTTCCAAGTGATCCGAACTTCCTCGCGGACAATGTCGGTGATTGAACTAACTCTAGGCTTTGATGACGGTAAAAGCTTGCACAGCTCCTCTCGCACAATCCTCGGATTGTGTCGTGCGGGTCGTCGGTGTTGAAGGCATGGGCTTCAGCATAGTTGAATCATGAGCGGCGGTTGTACTGCATTGTACGCATCTTATGCGTCTTTCGATAGTCGTAGCCTCCATAAGGAATTCATTGGCCATCTTCAGTGGGTTGCGGACAAGTGCCACAACCAGCTCGTGCTTGACTCCTCGCCACAGGAATCGGAGCGTCTTCTTCTCGGCCATAGCGGGGTCGGCGAGACGGAACAGCCGGGTCATCTCTTCGACGGAGGTGGTCAGGTTTTCGTGTGGGAGTTGCACACGTGTCTCCAAGATAGTAGCGGCACGTTTCTTGCAAACTACGCTCGTGAACCTACTCAGAAACATGGTCCGAAAGAGATCCCAGGTTCGTAGCATGAATTCCCGGTTCTCGAGCCACGTGTTCGTGGAGTCTCAGTCTAGATAGAAGTAAACGTGACGTGGTTTTTATTCGTGGACCCAGCCCTTCAAAGCGGCGACTCGGTCTCGGATGAAGGTTTCCGGGTCGTCCAGTTTTGAACCACAGAAAGTTGGTGGTTCCTATAGATTGCCGGAGCACAGTTGGTGCAGGCGGCACGGGGGCTGTAATTGTCGCTGTGGTCGAGATCAGGGTTCTGGTTGGTCGGGTCTTTTCGTGTAGAAGCCTATGCTTTGGCATTAGCCCTTATTGGCGGCGTGCTTGCTCGCAGGTTCAGGTTGGCGAGGGTGTTTTGTTCACGGTTGCGGTTTGGCTCACGACTGGAAGGGGGGGGGGGAGGGCGTTCGGTACACGGACGGGAAGCACCTCCACCAGATGTCACGTGGTCGTGGCGTGACAAAGGAAGCCCACTGGATGTTCAGATGAAGTTTTTTATTTGGCCGAGCTTGTGGCCGGTAGATGAACAGTAAATTACAACAACATACTGACACTAATAGCAGCGAACAGAGCGTCAGCATTTATACATGTGCCGTCGATATTTCAGCCTTCCAACTGGTCGCCGCGAAAGCTCTGGAATAATCTTGAGTGTTCGCGTCTTGTGCTCAATCCTAACTGAACGATCTACAATAATCGTGAACCTTCTCGAACAATAAAATGCAGTTTGCGCAAAGCAGTTATGACATGCTTTGTGGGTGAAAACAAAATGAAGGAAACGTGAAAATAAGAAACGCACGTGGCAATATGTTGGCATGTTGCCTTATGGTCGCGTAGTAATCCCTTCGTTCATTCCAAAAAGGAACACTCATGGCGTAGTGGGCACTTAACAGTTGTACAGCCGCGGCCACGCCTCTGTATAGCGCGCGAGCAGCCGGCCTTGCTTTGCGGCATGACACCTTGCGGCCGTTGCGGGTCGTGACATCGCGTGCACTGGAGCATGCGCGGGCTTACAAACAGGCAGGCCTGCTCTGCACGGGTGACAACGTGGGAAGGTGTGCTCGTTTAACCGAAGATCCGTGCTCGCTCAGGGCGTTTTCGTCATATCTACTTCATAAGACGAAGCGCATTTCGACTGGTAAAACACACCTGCATAAACAACGCACTTTTTGTGGCCGTTTTGATTTTGTGGCCATCTAGATTTTTTGAGCAGCTGTTGGCATTATCATATCGCCATATAATCACATGCTTCAAAACGGCTAGAAAGCGTGCATCGTTGATGCAGGCACGTTTAATCAATCGAAACGTGCTTCGTCTTATAAAATAGATGTGACGAAAGTGACCCTGAGGGACCGCGGATTGATTGATGTGTGGGGTTGAACGTCACAAAACCACCACATGATTATGAGGGACGCCATAGTGGAGGTATCCGGAAATTTCGACCACCTGGGGTGAGGGACCACGGATCTTCGGCTTAATAAGCACACCTTACACTTTTGTCACCCATGAAGATACTGCCTGCTTGTCTATGAGGCCACGCGTGCTCCTGTGCACGTCGGCTGGCGCAAGTTACGTTTCCTTTTTCGGTACATGATATTTTATAGAATGCATTATTTTCGTCCACGCTAGCGTATGGTGCACACTAGTTTGGCTAACGACAACTAAAAAAATACGAAATATTTTCTTTCACTTCAAACGAGTGCCATACGCATAGTTATTAAAGTTCCTTACGTAAGTCACGGAGAGGGTATGTTCGAAAAATATAGCATTGTAAATATACCATGCATGTGCAGCTTCAGACTACTTTGACAACATGAGTTGGAAAGAAGAAAAAAAACGTCCCTCCTGACGCTGTTGCCGAGATTGAAAAAAAAAAATGTCCTTACATACTGCACACGCCATACCCAATCATGCAAATTTCACAAACGCCGCACGACCTACGGTAAGCGAATGCTGAGCTACGCATTACCAACTTTGTTAAATGAACTTGCAAAAAATGGTACAAACGTAACTTTCATGTCTTTGAATGAGTTACGAAGAATATAGGTAAAATTCTCTTTTTGTTGTTTTAGTTCAATAAGTTACATATGTTTGTTTTTTTTTGAATTGTAATCTAGTGAATTTCGTGTTATTTATGCGATATAAGACGGGCCCATGAGCAAATATATACGAGCCGTTACTGTATGAATACTTTTGCCGTGTGCGCCGTCTAGTGGCGAGACGTCTGCCGGCGAGAGTATTTCTGCGATTTATTCATGCTCTGGACGGCTCATTTGAAATCTGACGAAGTTTTTTCAGACTAAACACTTGCACGAGATTCCTTCCTTCTTCCCTTCGTCTGACCGGAGTTTTCTCGTTTTTTTTTCAGGAGGTTATGTGTTTTATGAAATCCGTGGCTGGGAGAAATCATCAGAAGCCCTCACATCAGCAGTATTAAGCAAGCCTAAAAATCCAAACCAGTGCCTTCGCTTCTTCTACTTCGTACCTTACACCGTTTCAAGCCGTGGTCTGCTCGTTCGAATTATTCGATACCTGGAACCAGGATCAAAGGCGCCGTCACAATTAAACGCAACTGCAGGTAATTTTACAAATCATTATTGGGGATCATTTTCAGTGGCACAAATACTTTATATACGGAAATATTGAAATTAGAAAGAGAAAGGAAAAGTTGCCGACTACATCGTAGACAGGATCGGTAGCGGACTGTTTCAGATAATTTGTTTAAGAAAGAATTTTTTAACCAAAATACTTTTCCACAGGCATCGCTTAGCACAACTAAATAATCTTCAGGGAAACACCAAGCTCGTGATGCTTTCTATGCCAAAAACAGCTTGTTGAAGTACCTTAGGCTTAAGCACGATGCGTTGAAAATATCGCTGTGAAAGTATAGCGATAAATCAAATAAGAGTTTTCAATTATTCATCTTACAAAATAAAGTAATGTCGCCGCACGTTTCCACATTGCCAGTTACCTTGAAAAGGTTTTGCGTACGGGAGCCGAATTTTGAAACAATGTACTACGCTTTTTTCATTCTGAAAAAAAAAATCGGCAGATGCCTCGCCTTGTGGAAATCGGTTTCATTCCAAAAAGTCAGTGAGTAAGTGTCTATGCTTTGAGTCAAGGCTTACGAAGAGTATACCAAAATCATCTCATTTGAAATATTCTCCATAGCAAGTTTTGAAAGGTCCCCACCTATGTTCCTTTGACCAGATAAATGAAGTGCAGTTATTCCAGACTCTGCGTGGTGCCAATGAATTCTATGTGGTACGGCGTGATACAGTCCACGCGATCACCCTAGGCGTTTTCTCGTAATAAACTGAAGAGTCAGGGTGTTCTGTTTTATGCTGGTATCTCCTTTGGCCTACCCGTATAACTTAAATATAACCAACAAACGACGTATGTACGCGTGTAGGCAGAATTTTTCGCTGTCATGACTTCAATATCATGCTGGAAAGTTTCGATGTGTCTTTTACGAGTTCCGTACTGTCTCACTGTGACTGCTTTAGAGCTCCCACGCACTAACAAGGTGCCGCTTATATTGAATTGTATTTGTCATTTAAACGTCTTCGTCATAAATAAGGTTTACTGCACTTTAGCCTCCATTATTTTGACTCTTCGTGGCACTGCCGTTATCGAGAGAAATCGGCTACTTGGACCCTGTAGATGATCCGAGAACAGTCAGAACCCAAGCTTAAGGTGATCTGTACCTCATGCAAAATCCCCAAGCGCCGGGGTTTGGTTAGTAGAACGAGTGGCAGTTTCCCAGAAAGCTGATGACTTAGTGCAATTGGAGCTTTGGCCTTGATGAATTCAGTGAAGAAGTAGCCTCAAAAGGCTGTTGAATTGCTTTATGCGCATTTGTGCAGGTGCATTGTTTCAATCAGCAATATTTACCAGATATAAAAATGCCTTTTTGGAAAGAAACATGCTTGCTTTGTGCTGCCAAAGCGAGAGAAAGAGAAAGAAGCAAGAAAATGCCGTGAGGTTGACCATACGCATGTTCGTGCTACCCTGCTCTGGGGTAAAAAATAAAAAGTGAAAAGGGCTATTGACTGAAGGAGAGAGACAGACAAAACTACGGCACACACTCCAGGGAGCACATATTACTTACCGAAGCAGTGTATGTTCAGCCACTTGCTTAATGGTCCTTCTGCCTCACATAAGAGTCAGATGAAGGTATGGACACCATTGTTCGTATTGTCCGATTGGACTCATCGTCTGCGAAAAGATTTTATAGAGTGCAACACTCATCAAAATGAGGGAAGATCAGACCATTTTCTTGAGATGATTAGCAAGTGGCGTTATGTGTTTCATCTGCCTTTTATTTGTACAGAGCAAAGGACAGAAACACTTTGGAACCCGAATGCAGCGTTGCTACCTCAGAGATGGGCACCCGTTGAAGTCAGGTACACTGCTACGGATAAGTACAAGGTGGGTGCTTACAGCTTTTTTGTTCTTGTGAAAAAAAAAGAAGTTTCCTTTAGTTCAAGCAAGACCCAGACAGATGGTTTGTCGCGAATGAAAATTCTGAGATTTGGTTTCAGGGATTCCAGATGGAAAGTATCTATATACCATTCAATAGTAATGCAAGGACAAAGGCTCTGCCACCAATTTTTAAGGCGAAAGCTTTTAATGTCTGAGGCTCACGTCCATCCGTCTGTCCGTCCATGGCACGCTGACAGTTTCCCGACACTAAAGTGATCCTCAAGAAAATAAAATTGCTCAACAAATCATTTTTGCACCTCGGGTATGGCTTATATACCATCACACTATGGCTATATTTTTGAAATTATTCTTAGGCCCATATTTACAAACCAATCTCACCCTCATCACTTGATTTAGTTATCATTTCTGTTGCCTTAATGAGTTTCATGAAGAAATTTCAAGGCAATATCTACAAACGAATTTCCCATATATTTGCCCTGCTTACTGTGTCATGCTTCGTACGCTCATTAAATACAAAAGAACGATACGAAAAATAAGAAAAAGGATAAGGTTTGTGAATATGGACGTTGGAGTGTTTTTTGAATACATCTTCTTTTGCTAGTTCTTGTGGCGCCCGTCTTGTAACTACCCGTTAGCTTTTATATTAGGCTACAAACTATTTTTGTTCTTATGGTCAAGTCATGTTCAATGCTGGTGAAGTTAACGTCTTTGTTCAGAGAGATCACAAATTATGAACACATAGCATATGCCAGCATTAGGGAGCAAAAGAAGTCGATTCAACAGGGATGGGACCTTGGCCATGCTGTTTTTAAGACCATCATGTCCACGCCATGATTGTGCCGGAATCATGGCTCAGAATGCTATTGATTTTGTGCAGTGTATGCAGGTTACGTGCACCTTGGACCAATTGTCATTTTTTGCGGGAGTGGTTGGCTTCAGCCTCAAATATCTTTGTGATAACACTGCGCGTACAGACTATATGTTAGCGAGATCTAGTTCAAGTGATGGTGCATATTGATGAGGTGACAAGTGGCGCACAGCAGCATTTTGTTGCGAAAGGTACAGTAAACGCGCCTAGCTCCGGAGGAAGAGGGGGGGGGGGGTATGTGCAACAACCCTTACCAAGACCATATTGTTTTGCCGGATAGAAGGTCTATGTAACTCGATAATTTTTTTATGTGACCCTACTTCTAAGCTTAAATGTACGTAATACAAAGTCGCTTTATCGCGTGTATGACAGTGCTTTGGAGTCCATTTCTAACTTTCTTCGCTGTTGGGATTGACTGAATAGTGAAATCAGAAGAAGGAGACGTTCTTAGTACCCTGATTTACTGATAGCATGTTTGTTTATTATGCAGCTCAACTTTTTCTGCGATTCTACGGTGGCATCGGGCAAGCATTTCTACTGTGCAATCGACGACATAGAAGTTTACCCCTGCGGCGACAAAAAAGGCAAACAATCATTGCCATGTACATTGCATTGTAATTTGCATGAACAACGTGTGATTTTAAAATTTGGTGGTAAACAATTAGGAACGAAGGAAGCGCAAAAAGCGGTTCACAGTTTAAACTGAGTGCTTATAATTCTATCACCTTTGATTAAGTACTAACTAGCGTTGTATATCAACGCTGTATAATCAGAAAAACTCTGTATTTTGGTGTTTCTTTTGTTGTTGTTCTTGTTGATCTTCCAAACAAGAGTTCAACACTTGGTCAACAATGCAGTTTATACACACACGGCAAATTTTGAGCGGACTCTTCCTTCTTACACCAAAAGTAAACTTTTTTTCAAGTGCTTAGGACGTTTCCTGGTTTTGACTATATATAACTTGCTTTTTAAAATAAAGGTTTGGGCTGAATTTGTTTGTGCACATTAGCCAGCTTCAGTTATTCTTCATCATTACTGCGATTTGCATGCTTTCGTAATATGAAGAAAAAAAATTGTTATAAATATCTTACTGAAAGGTCTTAGCATGAAAGTTGGTCTAAGGAAAACGTAAAATATATCAGAAACGATGTTATAATGCTCTCCAATGTATGATCATTAGCAGGTAGACACAGCAAACGTATGTCCCACTGGAAGTCCTGTACATGGAATTCTGTGGTTATTATTTTGTCCTATGTGTTTCGAAAAAAGTAGCAGCCTGATGACGTTCGCTTTGTGTAGCGCCATTTCTAACTTGTACTGTCAACCATTAGTACCTTCCAGTAGCGTAGCCATGTAATAGCACATCAAGCCCGTGTCCCCCCTCTCCCCCTCCCGAATTCAAGGAGGTGCTGACCTTCGAAAGCATTTCTGGCTACGCCCCTGGTACCTTCTAATAAACAGCAAATGCATGCCCATATTTAAAAGTCTTATCAAAAGTCTTGTGGTGTTGAAGATCGTTTTTTTTTTCACCACCTAACTTTCCTTGCTCTACAACCTTTCTGGTAAGCCAGTTACTGCTACCAAGAGGCAACAGAGATTGTCGCTGACATATATATGTACTATGCATAAACAGTCACGCAAACAATGAGCTATTTGCGGGAAAAGTACTGTGCAGGAGTAGTAACAGCACAGGTATCACGTTCTACAGGCGTTTTGCTTTTGGTTGAAAAACATCAGCCCGGCCGGCCAACGGTTATGCATTTGTTTGCCGTGGTTGAGCGGCTTTGCTTTCATGGTTAGGGAAAATATACCAGCACACACCGCGAAATATTTTACCAGGGTAGTAGCGCGAAGAGCTGGGCTTGGTTGTTCATGTTTAGGTGTAAGAACAACCTATACGAAAACCAGCGGTCACTGCGTGTGACTGGTTGTGCCTTCATCGTCCTTCTTCTGAGTTTTCGCTGGTTTTTCTCGCAGCCAAACCGATAAATAAGCGCTAAATTTGACAGGCTCTCGTCCGCAAGAATACGTTGTGAAAATAAATGCTCGGAAACGGCATGTGAAATGTTGGTGGAGGAGGAGCCTTTATTAAAAGAGAGGAGTGTGGCGCACGTGGCTCGCCATCCGTGGATGCCGAACAAGCGCTGGCCGAACTAACACTCTTGGATCTCTTTAATGTATCACGGCAGCACACGAGTCTAGCGTTTATCAGCGTTTCTAACAGACCACACAACGCTTCCGTTGATACGCGAATATATATATATATATATATATATATATATATATATATATATATATATATATTAAAAGAAGGTGTCCTTGAATCCAGTGAAAAAATAGCAAAAAGTGGAGGACGGGCAAAACGAAAACTTTCAGGGGCCCTTGACATACTATGCCTATTTGAGAAAAGCGCATTTTTGTATCGTGTTTTGTCCCCGGCTGAAACGTAGGAAAAATAAAATTTGCCCCTCCTAAACTATATATATATATATATATATATATATATATATATATACTTTCCTGGTAAGACAATCGCAGTGTGTGTTCCAGCGATGTGACTCGTAGTCGTGACGAGAAACAGGCGCGACGAGCTTGGCGAGTAGTCGAGGTAGCGGATTGCAAGCATCACCTCACTTGGTTGTTGCCCAAGCCGAAAGGCGAGAAATACTTGTTTTACACCATTTATATGAACGTAAATGAAATATTTTTATTATTTATCATGTCCTTTTAATATTGGGCACTCGTTTTTGGCCCTGAAGCAACAAAACAAGTCCACCTTAACTGCTAAACACCGCCTTGATCATGTTAGTTGGTGAAGATGTTTTCCAGCCATAAGCACGAGCGAAGCTTTTCTGTTTACAAGACAGGGGGCACTTCCTTTTCCGCAAATGGCCAATTAATCTTGCTTTTATCCTTAGTTATAATGAAGCTGCACCAAGGTAGCTCTTTATATTGTCCTCGTATACGACAAGGAGAAACTAAGCAAGTGTGCTCTAAGAAAACTGCCGTCCTCCCATGTAATGATAACGTGGCATAAAATAGCGTAAATAGGCATCCTACAAGTAAGTAACAGCACTTAGGCTAAACACAAAAAAAGTCATACGCATTTTTTGACCAGAATTGATTTCTTTCTATGACTTGCGAGAACGGGGGCACACATTTCGCTCGCTGTAAAGAAGACTTCGAAGTGGTGACTGCTTAAAACACCATTGAACAACTGCATGTAGCAAAGCAGTTATAGATCATGACTATATTTATTCTGCACCTGAGATGACGCTACAGCTTTGTCTTAGCACCTCAAAACTTTTGTCATCCTGCAAATTCGTTTCAAGGGGATGTGTCATATGAGCTCACTTGCCACTAATTGTACACTTCGATGAATATCGATAAGTAATTATTTATGCAAACTCTGCATGTAATAAAATTTATATATTAGTTCATTATGCAAATTCATCAATCGCACCTATACTTCCCCCTCCTCCAGTTGTTTAGGGAAATACACGCCAAGTATATGGGCTCTCATATTGACAATCAATTCTGCACAGGAGAGAAGCTGTCCTGCGGATTCGGCGGAGGCGATTTCTGCAAGTGGAAAACACCCAGTGGGCCTGGAGACGCGACTTGGTTGCTCAGCGATGTCGACAATGGTCGTCCTGAACTGCCACGTCAAGACCACACCCTTGGAACATCTGAAGGTTTGCAGCGAGCTTATAGAAACACGAATTGTACGACGTTAAGCTCATAATTACAACACAATGCCGCTAAACGAACGCTTCTACTGCGAAGTAACCTGTAGAACGAAGCATGTCACGTAGCCTGGCGAGATTCCTACCACTCATATGTATTTTAAACGCGACTACAATGAAGACCAGTGCAGCGACATTACCTGTGTAACGAAGCGATTCGTGTGTTGCGAATCACTGAATTGTTTTATAATGAATACGCTTTGGCGCATATGTAACACGAAGACAGCCGAATGAAACGAACTAACAAGGCTGGAAGGTCATTTTGTGTTAATTTTTATGAACTAAAAAATAAAAAAAGGCGAATAAAGACGATTCAGTTATATATGCAAAATCCTCCTTGTTCTGGGGTGCGGCGTTGCTGTTAGGCGTGAAATGTGTCTATCTCTTCGCACTTCCTTGTTACTCGCCGCAGCACTCCGTAAATGTCGGTAGTATCAGTTTGGTGCTGCTTGCGTATTCAGCTAATCATGCTTGTATAAAGAAGAAAGTTGTGGACTGAGTTTGAATTTGCCCTCAGGAGCCTCATGTTCTTCATTCGAGTGATTATTAACGTGCACGATTCGTACAACTAAGTTACGTGTATTACAAAAGATTATGATGGTTCCACTTGCTTCGGAGCTGCTATCTAAAGTTCTTCTATCCGCAGAGAAAATATAAAATGCACGTAGTTGATAATTTTGAAGAAAAATGAAGGGCTTTGTCGCGAAGACCTCGCACGCAACTTGGTGCACTTGTTTAGAACGCGTGACTTGTATGCTTGGAGCCCGCGTTTTTGCAGTTTACGCGAGACGTTGATTCGAAACTTTTCGCCGTGATTGTGAAGTGTGAGATGGGCTGTTTGCCACCCCTCGTACTTGTCGCTGTGCAACTGGTTTTCTCTGCTTCCTTTTATCTATGACACAACACAATGCAAGTCAGGCTTATCAACCACCACTGTCATACCTTATCGCTTGAAAGCTCCAACTCATCACTTATAACGGCTGTACTCGCAGTGTAGATGGCCTAACAATCTTAGTTGTGTAAACAGTGGTGGTATTTGAAATAACACTGCTTCCTGAGAAGCAAACTATGAACCCACTGGGCTACTGTTAGGAAACAGTGCAAACACGCAGGTAGTTGCTTGAATATTGCACTCTTGATAAGTGTACGATGGCTGTGCGGTGGTTGGTTGTACTACATCTAATAAAGTCCGAAATGTTTTCACCTTTGCCCAGGAAAGTTCATCTACGTAGAAAATAAAGCGAAGAATACCACCATCAAGGCCACGCTTCTGAGCCCACCACTACAGCCGGACTGGGTCGGAGCAGCCTGTCTATCGTTCTGGCACTTCGCAGTAATGGAGCATATGAGCAGGTGATCACGCTTTGCTAAAAAGAAACACGACTTTCCTTATTGCAGCAATGGTTATTTAAAAAAACGAACAAAGAGATATGTGATAGAAAGGTATCCATCACTTAAACAAGACCTTGGTAGCGGAGCTGTTGAGGCTTGGAATGGCACCATTTTTTAACCACGCGAAACTGATGAAGCAGGGACGAGCAACGCCGAGAAGTTGAAAATAAAATAAAATAAAATCTTTATTTCCACTGTCCATCTCGCAGATGGAGGACACCAAGAAAAAAAAAAGCTGCCCATTGGCGAATTGACTAGTCCGCAGCGCAACGTGATGTGGCGCGAGGTCAACAGCAAAAAAGAAAAAAAAAAGTCAATTAGCAAGCGAAAACTTATGATTACGGCCGAACAGTACTATAGATGATTGACTTACCACAGAAAGATGAGTTACCACCTAAAGATGATTTACTTACCTCACAAAGTATAAAATATTACT